ATAACCTGTTATGTAAAAATTTTGTCGTATTTACGTGTCATGTTACAGATAAGAAAAAACGCTAATGGAGAACAGGTAAATTGTTTGCTAATATGTTGGATGAGGTTTCTCGGAAGTGCACCATACGCTATTTTATGTAAAACATTATTTCACACATTGCTTATACGTTAAAACATCAAATTAAAAGTTCAAAACGCGGAGATCTCCCCGATCCGTCGGCTAAGTGTTAACATCGGAGACTGATCTTAAAAGGAGCTCCCACGTTTCTAGCAACGTCCTGTATAACATCGTCCTCTTTATCCTGGCGTTTCGGTCAGGATAGGGGTTTTTGACTGCGCCGGTTCACGCGCGACGTGTTTTAATCGGCGGGAGCTGTTTTAATTAGCGAAGAACGACAAAGAATGCTAAGCATCGGTGGCGCGACACCGCCACTCGCCGTCGCCTGTCTATTGACGCGCTACCTGCTACAGGACGCGTCAAACAATGTGTCTAATCCGTTATTTTTTTTTTTTTTTTTTTTTTTTTTTTTAAACTTCATGAAGATTTCAAGGAGTCATATTTTGTTGAAAATGTCAGGGTGCGAACAATTCCTCAAGCTTTAATGGTAACAGTTAAAATAAATTCAACGACAGGGGGATATCTGGTTCCATTCATGCATCCAAGTGGCGAGACATTCTTCGTCGAATTTAGAGCGTGCCACGCACCGATGTTTTATTTTAAGCAATTTCATCGTCACTTCGTGGAAAGTAACCGCGTCGATTCAAGGATTTTAATATGAATAAATACGATTATAAAAGTTCTTTGATCAAACTTCCTGGATGAACTAACAGAGATAGATATAGTTTTTATTCCAGCTTTTGAGCCACGAAATGGACTTGGATTTCAATCCACTAAACCTTTTACGGGCCGATGAACTAGTATTTATTGTAAATATACTTAGAAATTACAGCACTCTCGGCAGATTTTGCGAATACGAGATAAGATTTGTCAAAGAAATTTAACACTTTACCGGGCTATTTGGAAGCAGACATTAAAAAATCATTAAAAAATGAATTTTCTACAGTCGCATATGCCAATCTAGGCTGGCGATAATTCCTCCATACTGTTATTAAGTACATTGGAAGCCAAGTCTGTTACCAAACACTGAACATTGTTCGTAGACAACTATCGGCACAGTAAATAAATTGAAAAAGCTAAATATTGGAATTAAAAAGCCTATAAATAGACACCCGGTAAATAAAGTGTTAACGATACTAGAACCGAATCTTTTTCAAACGTAGTACCTTCTTAGGTTTTCTATTGGAACTCCCTTTGTATTATAAAATAGAAATTCTACGTTAGAGGATATTTTGTGTCAGGCTCTAGAGGTAAATATTTTTCA